TTTTACACCTCTCCTCTAACCATTTATTCCAAACCATATAGTACTGTTTCTCCCTTATCTTGTATTTCTTTTGTGAGTCTATCCATCTCTGCGCACTCTAAAACTTTCCTTATCACGTTTTCTAATACTTTTTTCATTGTTTTGTTGCATTTTATACCTTTTTGAAAGTTAATAATTTTTTAAAAATAGGTAAGGACATGCTGTCAGAAGGTCACCATTTTATGACAGGATGACTAATCTGGATATATTGGTAACTATTTGGGTAACATTGAATACTAATATTTCTCTTTATCTACTATTTAGGTAAAATTGGATTATCTGTAATTTTATTGAGTCTAGTTTATCAACACAATACAATTTTCTTTTTGTTGGATTATCACATGAAGTCATTACCAAAATTGCATTTAAAGTACTTTGTAAAATCTTAAGTAAAATGTCCAAAGTCCAAGTATTGCTTAGTCTAATGAATTTAACACTTTAGTTTTAAAAGGGAAATGATGCATAGGTATATATTTTGTTGGAATATATGCTAGTTCTCAAGTATAAAAATTGCAGATATTTATAAATTCAAGAGGGAAGGGTGCATGGATAGACAAACAGCTATATATGTATGAATTATATAATTTTAGAGCTATATTTGATTTGACATTTGATTATATATTAGAAAAATACTTCAATTCAAATATTCTACATACATTTCCTAGAAATGAATGCCAAGTATTTGCAGCATTGCATGTCCTCTATTTTTAGAATACTATCCTTTGCTCATTTTGAAATTGTTTATATTCCATACAAACCTCTTATCATATTCACAAATTTGATATGAAAATCAGTTACAGAAGTGTCATCTTAAGATAGTACATTAAACTCAAATAAACTGTCAGACCTGGAAGCCATCTTTTGCATTAGGCCTTCAGACCTGCCACATTTACTACTGTGGGAAACTGGGAGGGGAGATTGTATAGAGCCAGGGTGATATATAGTCATAATAACATTCCTTCCTCAGAAAGTCAACGACAAATTGCCTTGCACCTTTGAAGGCTGGACTTGGGAGGCATCTCCAGTTGGGATGATGTTTAATTGGACCATGTGATGGACTTGTGGGTATTGGGCAGAAACTTGAACTTTTCTTTGGGTGGGGAAAACCTGGAAACTTTCAGATTTGGGTTTTCCCAGATGTACCAATATGACATCTCTAATAAACTGTAGCTTTGAAGAACTTCAAGCCTCAAGAGTTTTATTTCGTTGGGTATGTTACTTGGAACCCTGATATAAACACAGATCTACACCAATGTTCCCTTGTCTCCCAACTTTAGTTGCCAAATTCAGAAAATGATCCCATAAACACCTTTTCCTAAAACTCCCTCTTTATCTTGATTTTTATTGTTGCTGTTTCTTAGTTCAAAAATATTAAATGGGAAATGTTACAAAGCAAAATATCAACCACTGGGACAAGATCTTCATTTATAGAATGTTTAAGGAACCTAGGTTCCTTAAACATTGCTAAAATGCATAAAAACTCGATGGCTGCAATTCAGTGCTTAGTTTGGAAGTGATGCTATCTGTCCAGAATAAAAAGACTGAAATAATCTGGAACGGCAGATGACATCCCAGAGAGTAAAATACCATTCATGAAAAGGCAATTTATCAGTTCATAGTGATGCTAGTATTTAGGGCCTGCCAATCTTATGAGGAGGCCAATCTGCAAGCAAATCCATAACATGCTCACAAAATTCTGCACATGCTTTCTAGTATCAAAGCTTTGCTTTTAGCTGTTCTATGGTGCTACTTTGCAACATTTTTCTCATTTCTCAATTATTTCAGTTCAGTCAATTTATTACAAGCTGAAATGGGTACAATGTACCCATGAGCATTTTTTTATATAAAGTTTGTCATTGTACATATATACACAGTATACCCATACAACGAAATTCACATAACACCCAGAGACCAAGCCCAACACACATGACAATCCCCAGACATACCCCCACTCACCAAAAATTCCCCACCCCTAAACCACCCAAGCATCCACACAGCAGACCAAGTAATGATGTCCAACAGCTCACTGATGGTGGCCATGAGCAAAGTCCAAAAGGAGTGATTTATGTTTAGGTTTTAAGGAAGTTACCATATAAAATGTGGTAATGTCTAAAATTAGAAAAATGTGATGGTATCTAAACTCCACGTAAAATGTGACATGTAAAATTACATAAAACAGGATAAAATCTAAGACCATACAAAACGTATCTGTGTTGAAGGAACTTGGCACAGCAGGTTCCAGCAGATGTTATATGCTGCTGTACAAACCTAGCCACATGCTCTGTAATAAGAGTTCTATCAGGAGCATTTGGACATAGGTCAAGTCTGATTGACCAGGATATCTGCTGATCAGAGGGAGGATAAATCTGGTACACGTCTCTCTGTAAAAGGAGCAATGAGGAAGGACATGTTAAGTGGCTTCCAGCCCTCCAGAATCACAGACACAAAGCCTTTCAGCTCTGTATTAAAATACAGAGTTCTGATATTTTTTCCCCTAGAATTAGGTAAACCATCAAAAGCAACAAGGAGGAGTGGAACATTAGAAAACAACTAAATTGTGCCCTTTGGACCAACAATTGTTCTCTCTTTTTTCAGAATCCCTAATGTGGCCTGAAAGAAATTAGACATTTTTTTTCTGCATGTATTTTGATAAATGTATATTTAGAGCAAATGCCAAACTGAAAAGGTTTTAAGATATTGCAGGATCCAATCTGGGTTAGTCACCTGGTCCAGAGGTTTAGTCTTCTGATTTTTCAGACTCCTGGTAACCACACATCCTGGTGAGAAGTTCCCTGAGGATTTGGATTGGATCCTGCAACCTTGTCCTGGGATACGCATATTTGCCTTCACTCATGAGTTGTAAAATATGTTATAGTAAATGGCTATTGTCATTTGGAAAAACTCTTTTTTTCCCCTAACAGAGAACTGAAAAACCCATAATACCTTAGTTTAGTTGGAAGTTGGACTTTGAAGAAGCAGGACAGAAAGAATATTGATGCTTTTGAATGTTGTATTTATTTTTATTTATTTTATTCTATTTATTTATTTTTTAATTTGATTTATATGCCGCCCTTCTCCGGAGACTCAGGGCGGTTTACAATGCGTTAAGCAATAGCCTTCATACTTTTGTATATTTATACAAAGTCAGCTTATTGCCCCCACAAACTGGGTCCTCATTTCACCTACCTTAGAAAGGATGGAAGGCTGAGTCAACCTTGAGCCTTGGAGAGATTCGAATCAGCAGTAAATTGCAGGCAGCTGTGTTAATAACAGGGTGCGTAGACCACTGTACTATCAAGGCTCATTTATTTATTTTATTCGGCCTATATGCCGCCCTATCTCACAATGGACTCAGGGCAGCTCACAACAATAAAACACAAGCCACAATAAAAATAAAGACTAAAATCTAAAAAATTTAAAATTAACCCATTAAAACCCTTAAAACCCCGTCATCAGACCAGGTCAAGGGATTTGAAAAGACAAGTTTTTAATTCCCGGCGGAAGGTGCAAAGGTCAGGCGCTAGTCAGAGCTCCAAGGGGAGTTGATTCCAGAGGGTGGGCGCCCCAACCGAGAAGGCTCTACCCCTGGGGGCCGCCAGCTGCCACTGTCTAGCCGACGGCACCCTGAGTAGGCCCTCTCTATGGGCGTGAACCGGGCAATGGGATGTTGTTGCTGGCTGTAGGTGGTCCGCCAAATATCCTGGTCCTAAGCCATGTAGGGCTTTATAGGTCAACACCAGCACCTTGAACTCACCCAGAGGGCAACCGGTAGCCAATGCAAACAGCGCAGGAGGGGTGTAACATGGGAGTATTGGGATTCTCCCATGACAACCCGCGCGGCTGCATTTTGCACCAGCTGAAGCCTCCAAGTGGTCCTCAAGGGCAGCCCCATGTAGAGAGCGTTGCAGTAGTCAATCCGTGAGGTGACCAGTGCATGAGTAACTGTGCGTAGGGCATCTTGGTCCAAGTAGGGATGCAACTGGGCGAATGCCCCCCTGATCTGGTCTTATCTGGTCTTCTAAGCTCAACCATGAATCCAGAAGGACACCCAAGTTGTGCACCCTGTCTACAGGGGGCAAAACTTCACCCCCTATAGTCAGCGATGGCACCTCTCCCCTGAACCGAGATGCCGGTACCCACAGCCACTCGGTCTTGGCCGGGTTGAGTTGCAATTTGTTTCTACCCATCCAGACCCGTACCGCTTCCAGGCACCAGGCCATCACATCGAGGGCATCACTGGGTTGGTTCGGGGTGGAAATATAAAGCTGAATATCATCAGCGTACTGATGATACCTCACCCCAAAACCACGGATGATCTCCCCTAGCGGTTTCATATAGATGTTGAACAGGAGAGGCGAGAGAACTGATCTCTGAGGCACCCCACAGGTGAGGGGCCTCAAGGTCGATCTCTGCCCCCCCGCCAACACCGGGGGGGCGGGCAGAGATATTGGAAAAGGCTCCTGAGAATATTATGGACAGCAAAAAAAAACCAAATCAATGAATCATTGAATAAATCAATCCCGATTTCTCACTCAAAACATAAATGACCAGGATCAAATTATCCTATTCTGGATACATTATGCAAAGACTGGAAAAGGCTCTAATGTTGGGGAAGGTGGAAGAAACAAAATGAAAAGGGTAATCAGCAAGTAGGCTGGATAGACTTAATTACCAAGGCAATAGATGCACTATTGCACAGGTGTCAAACTTGCGGGGTCATGTTGCTGTCACGTGACATTTCGTGACTTTTTTCCCTTCACGGAGCTGGGGTGGGCGTGGCCTGCATGTGACGCATCCAGCCCATGAGCTGACATTTTGACACTCCTGCTTATTGGAAGACCTGAAAAACCATGTTAGATACAGATCTTCATAGAGAAAATGTACATGGTCACTAGGAGTCAAAAATGACGATGATATATAATCAAGCAAACCACCTTAGTTTAGTAGCTCTGTAATCTTACCGATAGCCTTCAGAATCCTGTAAGGAGACATTAGAATCCCAGGCTCCATCATTCGGCACAATCTCTGTAATCATGTGATAAAAGAAGTACTTAATTAATTTTGTTCATTTTAGTCCCAAGAAACATAACAGAACATTAAAAAGATACCCTTTGTTTCAGTATTCTTCAATGCTGATATTATCCATTTTTTCACGATTGCTGTGTGTCAATCTATTATAAATAATTTTCCAAAGATTGTTGAACTTTACCATATTGCTATCAAATTTGGAAAAATTATCCAACCCAATCATTACCTATGTAAAAATATTTAAAGAACAAAATGTCAATTTCAGCAACCCATGCTGAAGTAACATACCACCAGTAAAACATTTTGTATCAGTCCTTCTTCCCTTAGTATAATATTGTGTGAGAATTTAATATTCTTTTTCCACTATGATACCTATTGTGGCCCATAAATTACTGTATCTAAATTTTGCTTCATATACTCTTTATCTTGTACAGTTCACTGCATCAAATGCAGAGTGATGATGTCTTTTAATAAAATGAATTATGGAATGAAGTACAGAAAATGGTTTGTCCATGAAATGAGGATATATCTTTAGATTACCATTTTTTTCTTTTTACAATGTTATAATCCCTTGCTTCAAGGTGGAGTCAAGGCAACTGAATGCAGCTGAGCATTTACTGGCCAGATGCCCTTCCTGACACCTATGCAGAGTTTACAACAGATATTTTCTTTGTGCCCCAATAAAGAAACATCTGTCACTACCTAGGATTGAACTCTCAATTTTTCAAATGGGAGGCGAGTGTCTTCACCTCTAGGCCATCTTACATTTAGACTACCAATATGCCCATGGAAATCGTTATCGGAGCTGTTGATACTTCAGAAATTATTCAGAAATGCTTCAGATCTTTCAGAATTTGTAATTCTGTAATATTTAAAGCAGCTGAGTTTTTTTTTTCAGGCTACTGTCTGCCTTCTTTAAGTCTTGTATAAGATCCTGGAAAACATTGAGCTACTTGAATGAATAGGACATGCTGTTCTCATGCTTGGCCATGGGCAGAAGCAATTATTTTGAATAATTTTTGAAAAGTGCACAGTGTTAAATGGTATGAATTAAAGTGTCATGCAAATATTAAATTCAATAGAATATATGTCAATTGTCAAGCCAATAAATCAACATTTAAACAGTAGTTTACACTTTTATTCACTTGTTTTCAACATCAGATCTAAAAGTTTCACTCAAATTATCTCAACTAACTTCACAGTTACACTTCCTTATTATCATCCTATTTGAAGGATGCTGAAAACTCTCTTGCATACTTACATATACATATGACACCATGTCCATAGAACAAATAGATTTTAACTAATTGTCAACATTTCCAAGTATTCCCTAAATAACATGAGAAAAACACACAGGGAAATGTCAGGATTCAAGTTCATATGTATGTATATGTGTATATGTTTCCCTTCTTTTCCCTACCTATTGAGTTTAAAACCAATCATTTTTCATTTTTGTCTCTTTTTTAAATGGAGGGATTGATCAGAACCACAATTAAAATGCAATTAGTTTCACATTTTCTTCATTGTTATAATCCCACAGAAAATCAATGACCATTATTAAGAGATGTAAGGAATGAGTATAAAACACACAAGAAAAGTTCAAAACCAAGGTAAAATGGATTTTGGTTTCATCATCAGATTTTACTTCTCTTGGAGATCCAAAGAAAGGGATTTAAAAGACCCAAAATTTAGATCAAAGCCCAAGAGTGGGATAACCTAAAAGATGAACTGTGCAAAATAAATGGAGTAGGAGCTGCAGAAATCTGGTTACGTTACAGATTCTCTACTGTAATCGTTTCTGAGACATTTTATCACCTATCCAAATTACAAAGATATTTCAATTTTTATCACCCAATTTTCATCACATCAACCTACCATCATTAGGCCCAAGGTCTTGGGTTTCCTTCTGGTAAGTATCCAAAGTATGAGGTTCCTGCAAATAACTACTGTTCAACTGTGATGTGCTCAGCATCTCCTGCAACTTAGTCCGGTTTCTTTCCACTCTCTCTGCTAAAGACAAAGTACTGACATTGCTGCTGCTACTGCCAAGACTGTCCCAGCTCTCCGTTCTCCAAATCCTCCCAATTGATGCCACCTCAGAGCTGTCATTCTTTTTCACAGAATTGCTGTCAAACTCCTTAGGCCGAATTAGATGGTCTTCTCTACCATTTGTTTCTTCAAAAGATGTTGGGATAAAGGAAAGGTCCTTTAAAGAGCCAGTTCCAGAGATGGCATTTAAGGGTACCTTTTTTGTTGAGCTTCCTAAAGAACTCTTTTTATCTGATATGTTTCTTCCTGGGAGCCTCCTGAATTCCTTTGGTGGACTCATGCCTGTGGGCTCTCCTGTTGCCATAGATTGTGTTTCAAAATCATTGATGTATGGATCTGGAAGGCTTGTTCCCTGAAATTCCTCCTGAATCTGATGTGGATACTCAGTGCTGTCCAGCAGCACATCTGTTAAGTAAGTGCGGATTTGAGCTTGTGGCTCCACTACTGCATTCTGAAGAACAGGGTCTGTTGGTGGCTTTCCTTTCCATGCTTTAAGCTTCCTTAGAGAAGCCTCTTCCTGGGATGTTGCTTCAGTTCGCTTGTTTATGAGGTTCCTTTTCTCTTTAAGAGCTTTAACCTTAGATTGTAAAACAGAGGTGGACTTACTTACAGACCCTTTCTGTCCCACTGGAATCCATGTTGGCCCACTAAGAGAAAAATTATTTACATGTTCAGAGCATTTGTCAGGCTGTTTGGGTCTAGAAGTATTTTTAGCACACTGCTTTATGCTGCCTATTCTTTTTTCAGTAGAGAAATTTTCCTCCATGGTCTCGTGTCCAGCTGGTAACAAACCTTCTGGGGGGGAAAACAAAAATTGTTTGAGCAAATCTGGTTGCTTTGCTTGGGAACATTTTCCAAAGTTAATATCTTTTAGAATGGGCTGACACCTTCTATCTGGGGAAAGACCTTTGTACAGAGCTGTATACTAAAAATACTACTACTCCACAAAGTGTGCAAAATTCTGTATATATAATCTGACCTCCAGCAAATTCACATTCCATTAATTATGTGGACTATATTCTAATTTCCTTACAGGGAAAAAACTCTGGTGCACTAAAACCCTTTTTCATTACTGCTGACAACAAAGCCTCTATTACATGGTAAAATATTTAAATAACTACATTAACATTACACTATATTTTTGCCAAGAAAATCTGAACTGTGTAACCTGTACAGCTTATACAAATTAAAATTTTCCAATTTTGTATGTTTATTTTGTATACTAAGATTTTACTTAGTCTGCTAATTTTACTTGGTTCTGCTAATCATTTGGAAGACCAAGAGAGCCCTATTATTTTTCAGGGCCCTAAACTTTTCCCTTTTTCAGTTCCTACACCCCACAACCCAGCTGGCAGGCATGGTTCTAAGTATATATCTATACTTATTGAAACAAGTATGTATCTGAAGTTATTACATCACAAAAGCTTGCTTCTGGCCATTGGACACAATGCCCTAGGCCACTATGTTATAAGATTACTATAAGGTAATTAAAATAAATTCCTTCAAAGGTAGAGTGGCTTGGAAGATATTTGAGATTCCTTGGAATGAAGCATATTTACCAGCTTAACAAGGGATGTTACTGGAAAAAAAGTTAAAGGAAGTACGCTCTCAAGCATATTTCAGGAGCAAGATGTGAAAGTGTGAAATTGAAGCTGAGGAGCAATGCAAAAGAGAGGGCCATTCTACTTCATGAGTAAAATTAAGAGCCGAACTCTTGTAAATATTGGACATGGCCCAGTAATAATTTCAGCAACTCTGTCTCTGGGGCCAGGCTGCCTTCCAAAGAAGTTATAGAGGAAATTTGCCTACACCCAAACTAAGAAAGACGCCAACTCCCTCACGCTAGAAAGACTCCCTTTTCTATACAAGAATGCAAAATTATTGATTTAACACTCAACACCTTTTGGTTAGGGACCTCACTGAGCTCAAATCCATAAATTTATAAAATTTATGGGGCATTCTCCTTCCAATCCTTGCCCAGATTGTTAACTAGGGGAAAATTTTTCCAGACACTTAGCAAAAAAACTGCTCTTGAAAGCAGAGGAAGAAGTTTCAGCGGAAGAGCAACAACGTTACCATCTCCTAACTAAGGAGACCAACAGAGATACTCACCCAGCTTTGGGAAGTTCCTTCTTGGGAAAGGAAGGGGAAGGGAGGGCATCAGTGCCTCTCCTTAAAACTCACCTTCTTGGGAAGACATTGCTCCTAAGTCCATCCAAGCCATAAAGGTTTGTGAGAATGGCAGCCCATTTCTCAGAGAACGGCTACCGAAGAGAAGAAAGGAGGCACTAAATTAACACTTCAAAAAGAGAGAGGGAGAGGGAGGGAGGGAGAGAGGACTTTCTTCTAGTTTGTTCCTTCCGGCTTTCCAAAGCGGGGATCATCTTTTCAAATGAATATTGTCGATATTTTCTCCAGCTTTCTGACGGCCCCCGCTATGATCGCCCAGGCTGTTCATTAGGGAGCGAAAAGTGTTTATTATGACCCTGGCAAGAGACCTCAGAGCGGCATTTGGAGCCGAGAACAAGCGAGAGAGCAGAGCAGCTTAAAGCCTCCAATCCCCCCTGGGGAAGTGTGTGTGTGGGGGGGGGGGGGGGGGAATGAGATCTACGACTCTGCCAAAGTTCAGCTGAAGTGAACCAGGAGAGCCCCCCCCCCCTTAGGCCTCAGCCCGTCTGGAGGAGCAGAAACGCCGCTTCCGGCGGGGGCTTTCGGCGCCTCACCTCCCTCAACGCAAGCGAGATGCGAAGACGGGCGAAGGAGCAGTGGCTGGGTGGGTGGGGGGACCGCCTCCTCGGCTGGAGTTGGAGTAACTCTTCTGAGCAGCGCTATGACCTCTCCTCCCACTTTCTCCCCCTCCCCTCCCCCTCTGCTTCTTCCAGCCAGCCAGCCAGCTGTGTACGAGGAAAGCCTTCGCCTTGGGAGCCAGGACGGGCTTTTTTTGGCTGCTGGAAGCTGCATACCAGGGAATCCAACCAACAATCCTTCCCGCTTAACCGCAAGAACGGGCTGCTCCCAAAGCCTTGCCTGTTTAGCAGGGCTCTTGAGTTGCCATGGCGACGGCTCAGTGGAGCCGTCCAGCCAGGAGGAGGAGGAGGGCCGGCGGGATGGGAGAAAGGTGCCCAATGTGGCCCAGGGAATTTCATTCAAATATTATTTCCCCTTGACGGGCCCAAGAATGTTCTTAACAAATTTACAGTCTGTAACTCGACACTTCAAGGTCGGATTTTTTTTTTCCTACCATAGTCTACCGAAGAATATTTTGAGCAGCAGACGTGAGGAGGGGAAGTTAGGCAATCTCTGGGTGCTATTCAGGAATGCCTTTTAGTTTAGCTTCCCTTTTTATTTTTTTACACCTGCCTAGAATTTAAAATTTTTCAAAATTCAAAGATTTAGAAAAACAAGAAGACGTAGAGGCAGTTTTGCAGGGAGGAAAGTGAATCTAATAGATGTAAGTTGCCTAAAACGTGTGTTTAATTAATATACATTATATATCACGAGACATGGTATATGGGAAGTAGAAGAAATTGAAATAAAAATTGCTGAGAGAAATCCACATATGCCACTTAAAGAACCTCTTTTGGAAGGTAAAAGAATAAGAGGCAAAAGACTGTTGATCAACATAAATAAATCTCTAAGGCAATGTCAATAGGCAATGCCAACCCAGTGTAAATAGTAGTTGAAGTGTTAACACATTTATTTTTTGAGACTCAAAGATTCACAGGGATAGTAACTTTAGTCAGAAAATGAACAAATGTCTATTATTTCTGAACATGGCTATAGCAGTCTAGACAAAGGCTCTGTCTTATGCCCAGTACTCTTCAATATCTTCCTCAATGATTTAGATGAAGGGATAGAAGAGGAACTCATCAAATTTGCAGATGACACTAAGTTGGAAGGAATAGCCAACACTCCAGAATATAGGCTCAAGATATAGAAGGATCTTAACAGACTTGAACATTGGGCACTATCAAAAAATGAAAAGTGAAAAAAGTAAAGTTCTACATTTAGGCAAGAAAAACCAAATGCACAGATAAAATATAGGTGGTACCTGGCTCAATAGCAGTAATTGTGAGAGGGACTGGACAATTTATCTCAAATGGTAAAGGATTTCCTGCTTGAACATAGGGTTGCACTAGAAGACCTCCAATGTCCCTTTCAATTCTGCTATTATTCTGTTAATAGCAGAAATATAACAGCAACAAAGATATATAAAATAGTCTTTTGACTTACAACCAATCACTTAGTGACCATTCAAATGTGTGACAGATCCCCCCCCCCCTTGAAAGCTACTTACGGCCTGGTTTCAAAGATATGGCCACTTTCTCAAAATCTTGGTTGGAGTGATTTGGGTCTGTTGGGGGAGGGGGGATGGTGGTGGTTTCTCCCCACAATGCACTGCCTTTACTCCCCACCTTGAGCTATAAAGAAAGCCTTCAAATTGTGGCTGCTCCAAAATGGCACTCACTTGCAGAAAGAAGCAATGCAGCCAAGTGATGGAACAGCTTACTCTCCTTTTCCAACATGGGCTCTGGAACTTCCAAGTGAGAGATTGGTGACAGGGATGGGGAAGAGGGTGTGGTACCTCAGGGTACCCACAAGAGAAGGCCCTTATGGGAATCCCGAGAGGAGGGAACTGGAGCACCCTGGTCCCTCAGGGTGAGAGAGACCTTGGAAGGCAAGGATTGCACTAGACACCCCAGGGCCTTCCCCACTCTGAGGCAACATATGCCCTGTTTCATGACTGCATCAGAGAGAAGAGGAATGTAGGAATTGTTAAGCCAGGCGATCATGTGGGAACTTCATTCAACAGACATCACACATGACCATAATAGGCAGGCTCCATTATGGTTGTCAGTCAAGGATTACTTGTACTGGCAAAACTATGGTTTTCCCAGTTGTAGCATAAGACACAGCTGGATAGACTTAAAGAGAAGAAATTGTGAACTAAAGTTGATGACAGAATGAAGAACTGCCAAATAGATTGGCTCTTTGAAATACCTTTCTGGACAAAAAGAGGATTTGGGATTGCCCACAAGTGCTCCAGACAGCTGTTCCTTGTGAGGAAATTGCATGACAGTGGTCTTCAGTGGGTTTAGCGCTCTGGGAAATGAAGGAACACCATTTCTGGAGGATATTTGTAAACAATGGTCTTGTAGGTAGACTGTGTTTTAAAAATTATATGGAAGAAAAGCATGTTTTACCAGTCAAGACAGAGACCAATTTAAATATGGATTTAAAAATAATAACCTACAAGAATGATAAGGAAAAAATGCTACACAGGATATGCAAATTAAACTGGCTGTTGTTTTCATAAAGGATATACAAATAGCAACCAAAAGAGTGACCTGAATAACTTTCCCATACTGGATTTACAGGAGTGTGAAGCTAGTTTATCTCGTCGTGCACCCTGGATTGCACTACAGCTGAAACTGAACGAACTAGCAACTGCTGGCAGACAGATTACTCTATAGACTTTCCCTGGCTTTCAAAATACGTGGCAACAAAAGCCATACACTAAATTAATAACTTGGATTTACAAGATTTGTTAAAAATAACTTATTAAAGTTTGAAGAATTTTGTGAGAAGGAACAAAAAAAAAAGAAAGAAAATAAAGAAAATAAATCAAGTTCTAGGAAATTATTGGAAGCGATTTGTCAACATAAAGAATCAGGACCAACCATGTAGATCACAGCATAAGCAATTTATTGAAGCATAGACACAAATATCTGGTCAACTAACTGTCATCACTAAATTGTGTTAGAAAAAGGTCAATGGAATTCAAAGGGAGGGTACTGGACTTGGCTCTCTTTTGGCAACACAAGAACTGATGAGGCATTTTACTCTGGCCCCCAGCTCTGCCTGCTCTTCTCTTACAGGATTAAAGATTAAGATTGTTAAAAGTAAAAGGAAGGGATATACAGTACATTTGATTTATTTGATCAAGGTCAAAATTGAGATATTTTTGCTAAGCCTTATTGAACTTTTGCTGACCAGGATTAAATAATGAGGCTTTATAGTTTATAGATAAAATATGAGATAGGGGAAAAAGAGGTCTTTTTAAAATATATTTTAAGAGAAGGTGATAAGTTACTAAAACTGTTTATATTTGTGGTAAAGGGGTAGTAATTTCTTTATATTTCCTTTTTTAAAAAACCATATTCTTATTTTTTAGTTTCTTTTACTTTTTTGCATTTCCTATTTTTTTCTTTTAGTTTCCCCCCCAGTTTGTAGTAGCTTTAATCTTTTTAACTGTAATCTTTAATGCAATTTACTATAAAAAAGACCAAGATGAAGAAATAATGGTAATTAAAGGAAATTATTGAGAAATACCATGTGCTGCAAGAAGGACAAATCATTTAGTACTAGTAACATTAAAATAGATTTTTCCGAATATGCACTTCTAAATGAAGATAAAGCTCTGATATCTGCAATGCAAATGCAAGAGAAGATCCTGAGCTGGGGAAAATAAAACACAATTGAAAGAGTGTCTCACAGAAGAAAAGGTTTCTAGATCCTACATTTGATGACATAAGCATAAACTTAGAAAATTTCAGAAAGAGTTACTAACAGAAAATTCTGATGGAATTATTTCCATATTGGGTCCTGAAGAATCAGAAGAAACTAAAAACAATACACACAACTCTGAGACTTTGTTTCAAATAAAAATGTAGTACTCTGAAACAACTAAGGTTTGTTTATATAATACAAAACCTTCTTAAGTAACTGTATTTTTCTAAAACAAAGGAACAAGCATTTATCTGTAACATTTTAATTTGGTTTCTCTTAGCAAAGAAAACCTGTTAAGAATTGTTTATTTTGAGAGCAATATCAGACATGAAAATGGAAAAGAAAGTTATATCTGTGTTCATGGATCTCTTAAGAATACATGTTGGTGTGTCTTGTACTTGCCCTGAGGAATTTAAAATAAAAAATGAATGATAAATGAAATCACTGAGAAAGGGAAGCAGGAGCAAGAGTATTCAAGAAGGAAATGATGCATTTGCTTCAGTAGCACATACTTAAGCTAGGTATCATTCAGTCATGAGTTTCAGGGGTTGTAACGCAAATGACTTATAATCAAACCACAGCAGAGATAAGGTCTTTCAGATAAGGTCTGAAACCAGCTCTTTATGATTGCTACTGAGCTTCTTCTCCATGCCTAGATATATAAAATACAGAGGTTAACAAAATATTAGTCTGAATTGGGGTGCGTGCACCCCAGAAAGAGTAAAGTAAATTTGGGAACGCTCCTTGAGCATCCACTATCTGTGGATGGGAAGGTAGTAGTTAGAAGCAAGGAATGCAGTTGCTAACTGTAACCATTCTTCAGTCAGTCAGGCTCAGCAACAGACATCCATGCCTTGGTTGCAACCTACCTTGATACTGCAATATACTTTAGTTTGGTCTATCCTTGAAAAGAGTCTAGAAATTGTATTTGGTACAAACTGCAGTAAAAGGTTCAGAGCTAACAGATGCCTGCACTGAAAGATCTGTGCTGGCTATTGCTTGCTTATAAAGTACATGTTAAGATGCTTGTGTTAATTTTCAAAACTCAACTAATTTAGGGCTTAATTATCTA